AAATGAAAAGGATGAATATTTCATTTGTTTCCTGAGGGATTTCTTATTTAATAGGAAGTGCTTCTTAACAAACTTGAACCTCTAGAGACTCTAAAGATGCAAAATTCCATACAAAGATTATGTTGCTGGAAATGTAATTCTTTATTGAAAGCTTCATTTGCAAAATAAGGTGATGATAATCACAATAATGACAATAATGGCTGCAAATTCTTTCTTCATATTGTGTCAGAGTCTTTATTTAGTGAAGTTCATTTAGTCCTTCCAAGATCCCTATGAGGTGTGTATTCATTCCAGTTTCACAGATGACAACACAGAGTCTGGAAGAAGTTAAAATTTTTGTTCAAGGCCAGTATTCTAATGTATTTCTGTGGAGAGTTACCAGATATATTACAGGAAGTTTAAGTTGAATTTGAGTTTCAGAGAGATTACTATCTTTTTCTTAGCAGCGTGTCTTGTAATATTTGGGACATGATTATATTAAAAAGTAATCTTCATTGTGGTTTTAATTTGCATTTTTTTGTTGATTAGTGATATTGAGCATCTTTTCATATGTCTATTCAAGTCCATGTCCATTGTTTAATTGAATTGTTGTGTTTTTTTGGTGTTAAGTTCTATAAGTTATAATATCACTTCACACCAGTTAGAATGGCTATTGTGACTAAATCAACAAACAAGTGATGGTGAGGATTTGGAGAAAAGGGAACACGTTTGTACTTTTGGTAGTGCAAATTGGTGCAGGCGCTGTGGAAAGCAGTATAAAGATGCTTCAAAAAATTAAAAATAGAACTGTCTTATGACCCAATGATCCCACTTCTGGGAACTTATATGAAGAAACCTAAAGTGCTGATTTGAAAGAATGAAAATACCAATATGTTAACTGAACCATTATTTATAATCACCAAGGTATGGAAGCAGCCCAAGTATCCATCAGTAGATGATGAGTGGATAAAACAACTATGGGACATTTACACAATGGAATACAACCCAGCCATAAAAAAGAAGAAAATTTTACCCTTTGTGATGACGGATGGACCTAGAAAACATTATGCTAAGTGAAATAAGCCAGTTAGAAAAAGACAAATGCCATACAATTTTACTCATTTGTGGAATCTAATGAACAAACTGAACTAACAAGTAAAATAGAGACAGACTTGTAGATAGAAAGCAGGCTGACAAGTCTGGGGGATAGGTTAGGGGTTGGAGGGATTGAGCAGAAAAAAAAAGGACTCATGAACATGGACAACAGTATGGTGATTTTGGGAGGAGGGGAGTATAAGGGGGATAAATAGTAAAGGAAAAAGTAAAAAAAATGGATACAAATAAAAAAGAAGATCTAGTTCTCATATTTAAAAAAAGGGATCTGAAATGCAGATTTCACTGGGTGTTCTTTATTTTTATTTCCTGAATCTAAAAACCCTACTTCTCTTTAGTCTAAAAAAATTTGCCTCACACATCTAGGTTGCATTGCATCCTCATTCTCTCTTATGTCCAGGCAATTCCCAATTTACTTACATGGAATTTGTTGGATGAACTTAAAACATTTAACAAAGCATAAGGCCCTTTACGAGGTGGACTCCACCTTCCCATTCTGCACATTTAGGGATATAGCAAGAGAATAGGCCCTGAGGCAGAAGCTGAACGGTGAGCATGGAGGCCACTGGGCTGCCCCTAGGAGTGAGAACTCAAAGTCAGATCAGACAGGGAGCAGAGAAGATCAGAGCAGGGCTTTGGAGACTACCGTGAGATTGAGTATCTACTCTGAGTGAGGCAGACAGCTACTGAGTTTAAAGCAGAATGATGTGGCCTGGCTTAAGGTTTAAGAACCACACTGGCTACTTTTTGGAGACCATTATGCAGAGAAACAGGGCAGAAGCTGGGAGGTCCTGCAAATATTGAGGTAAAAACTCTAGTGGCTGGTTTTTCTAATGGTGGATTTCATAGGTTCAGCTTTCAGTCTGTATCACTCTGGGCTCTGGGTGCCATATCCAGGTTGGAGCTGGGGAGAGGGGTTTCATTCTTTCAGCTTTTATCTGACCCTGGTGTGGTTTTACACTGAGGTCTGAAGGGATTTGAAGTGACTCTGCCCCAGGTGCACTTTGTGGGTACTTCCCTGGGTGCAGAAGAGCCAGTCATATGGGCAAAGAGCAGCAGCCAAGACTGGCAAGATGGTGCCCTCCAGGGGCAGAAGGGAAACATGCTTTCAGCCCTGTTCCTGATATAGCTGAGATACTTCCTGGGAGAGCCTGTGGGTGGGGGCAGTGGGGAAGGCACTAAAACTATGCAGAGTTCATATGCACCTGGGAAATTTTTATTAGTAGTATTACTATAACCTAAGTATACCATAATTGAATATGCTTAGAAACATCAGGGCTAACAAAGTTAAATGAATGACATTATAGGACACAATAAAACAAAACATATAAAAGATACAAATGCCCTCCAAAAAAACACTTAGCAAAATTTTTACTGGCATGTCAACTCTGTGCCAAGTTGTGCTTCCTAGACATTCATTCCCACAGCAATCCTTAGTCAGACATATACTATCATCTTCACCATGTTTTCTTTCTGTCACTGTCTTTCTCCCAGTGTCATCATCACTTACATTCATGCACTAGTGGGTTTTGATTTTAAGTGTGATAAAAGCACTGTAGGTTTTCAAGCAAGGGAGTAGTATCGTCAGATGTATATTTTATAAAGATTTTTATCCTTCCTGTGGAGAGAATGGACTGCATAACTGACATGAAAAAGTGGCTAGCTTTGGGCTGTGATTTGGAGGTAGAATTAATGGGGAAGGTAGAGAGAAACAGAGGTAATCCTAGTCTTTTTTGGTGTTAATCACTGCATGGATGACGATATTTTTATAAGAATGAGGAAGATGGGAAAGGAATAAGTTGGCTGGGACAAAATCAAGACTATTTCTGGCATGTTACATTTCAGATATTTATTGGAGATCTATGAGGAAATGGGCATTTAAATGCTTGAGTCTAGAATCCCAGGAAGAGACCAGAAATAGGAATCTAGATTTAGGAATCTCTGGCCTATAGATAATATTTAATGCCCTGGTATTTGATGAGGTCACCTTGGGAAATTATGCCAAAGGAAGAGGTGGCTCAGGACAAAGCCCTGGGCTGCTCCAGTCTAGAGGGAAAGTTTCCAGCAGAGGAAAGTGAGAATGAGCAACTTGTAACCAATTCTCAGCCAAATTCTGCTGACAAATAAATTAAAGTAAGAACAGAGGGTTAACTATTGGAAATGGCAATATGGAAGCCTACAGATACTTCAGTGAGAGCAGTCACAATGGAATGGCGACAACATAAGTCTGATTAAAACAGGTTGAAAAAAACCTGTGTTGTGGAATTAAAGTCCTGGTTAAGGAGAAGTTGAGAAACTTCGTTCTTCATTCATTGTAGTTCCCTTTCAACAGATTCCTATAGTCAAAGCAATTCTAAGAAAGGAACTTAAATCTTTCAGCCTGATGGAGACTTGTAGAAATAAGGGTGGTTCTTAAAAGCTCATATTGGAAAAGTTTAAATGAAGGTACTGTGCAATTTCAACAAAGTTGGAATGTAAAAATCAATGTTGGAATGCAAGTGGAGGCCCCCAAATCCCTGGAGTTTATTTATAAAAAAATGTGTATTTATTTTTACATGTTTAAACTTCAGTCACCTTCAAAGTACTCCCCATTTGATGTAGTACACTGAGATATTTTTTCTCACTGCTCAAAAGAGTTTTTAAACTCATCGATTTTGATGCCTTTTAGTGTTTCTGTTGTTTTTTGTTTCACCTCTTCCACATTGGAAAAATGTTTCCTTTTGAGGATGTTTTTCATCTGGGGAAACAAAAGGTAGTTTTTTGGAATGAGATCTGGTGAATAGGGAGGATGGGGCATGGGGGTCATGGTTTTGGTCAAAAACTGCTGAACACTCAGTGTGATGTGGGTGGGTGTACTCATAAATCACCCATTATAAAATGGGAAAATGTGTTGTCTTAAAAAATTTAACAGAAGCCAAATGCAGCCCCACAACAATGCCAGTTGGTACACCAATACAGATGGGTTGTTAGGACACTCACCTAGCAGGGTAAGCCTATACCACAAAGGACCTGCACTCCAGAAGATAATTCCTTTTTTGAGGAGGTCCCTTTTGTAGAACTATGTAAGTCAAACTACTAACTTAGGGTGGTTATCATGACAAAGCAACAACTATCTGACAAAATTAGTAAGTGATAATAGCTATCAAAACAAACTAGGATCTGATATTATCTGGGATAAGTCAAATTCAATGATGCTTTCATTGATATTTGAGAGTTGGCAGATACACACATATACATATACCTGCCCTCTCATCATTGTTATTAGTCAGTCCCTTAGGAGAGAATGTCTAATTTCATGGTTGATAAAATATGACAATGAGCATCCTCATCACCATATATTTACCAAGTCCCCAGTGTGTTACAGAGAAAAGAACATCTGGAAGTGAGCAATATAATGATGATGCCATCGGGAGAATAAAACATGTAAAGAATAAAGCCTTAGCTAATCCCCCAGCTCATAAGTACTGGTTATTCAGCAGTGCAGGCACAGAGAATGTGACCTGGCCAAATACCACAGGGCCATGTTAATGAGCAGAGTACAGGAAGGACTGCTGGCCATGCAACAACCACAGACAGTCATTCACAGCAAATGATGCTCTTAGATGAGTCAAAGCACCAGGTAACTCCCTGTAAATGGTTGTATTACCTGGATTTTACATCCATGTAAGTTCACATGTAATTGTACAAACACAAGTTTCCTTTCACGATGGAGCATTTGGGAAATAAATCTTCCACTTGGAAGTTAAAGTATACCTAATCTCATATACAATAGTCCCATTTTTTCATTTACTCCCTTCTATTTTAAGTTAGCAAAGATGTATTGAGCACTTATTATGTGCAAAGAACTGTACTGATGTTGCCTTGAATAAATTCATAAAAAAATTAGCCTCAAATACTTAATCTTTCTTCTAAAATGAATAAGCTGCTGACATGCTTGTGCTATTCACAAAAGGTGTGGACACCAAATATTTTGTTCCTACCAGCTCATGACCCCCATCTTCATCGAAGTCCTCCTCTATCCCATCAGTCATCTCTCCTCCATCCATGTCTGGCGCTCCTTCAGCAGGCTCCTCTGTAGAGTGATCTGCATTCTCTGACACACATTCATCTTGGATCAGCTCTATACTTTCTTCTAATTGCTTCTTCTGAGCTTCTGGTGGGGGGAAAAAGCAAATGACTACTACCTTGAGTTGCTCATGATCCATTTGGATAAATCATGAAAAAAAAACCCAAAATAATCTATAAGAGAGTAAACTCTGTGTACTGTAAAGGGTGTGAGGAAGATAAGGTCATATTATATTTCAGTCAAATTTATTCAGTCATGTATATTATTATATATCTATTTCACATGTATGCTTAATCATTTGTAATTGAATTAGAAAAAACAGAGAATCCAGATTATACTAGTAGATAAAGAAGTAAAAATGTACAAAGATACATTGATCTTTTTAGCTATACAGGATGGGGGGAAAAGTTTAGCTTATTCTTGTATGATTACTTATTAATTATTGTATTATTTTACATATGAACAACTGTAAACTTACTTTTGTCTCACTGTGTATATAGTGCTTTCTAATAAGAATATTCTCTTCGAGGAGAAAATACACGGAAGAAAGAGAAGGGAGAGAAAAAATTAGGTAAAGCACAGAACTTGTTCATTTGAAAAAAGAGGATGAGAAAGCTCAATGACAAGTTCAAATCTATGTGAAAAGGCCAAAATCTCACTGAAGAAAAAAATCACAAAGGCAAGTATGTTATTTTTCAAATAACATGTCTATGTGGACAATCCTTTGAAATTTTAGTCTACATTCTGTTGGTGGATGTTGGTCACAGCAGTGGTTGAGAGTAAAATTCTGATATTAGGGGAACTATGTTCAACACCGAGCCTCCTCCTTTTCCATCTTTGTAATGCTATGCAGTGAAATGGGAAGCTTTCATGAGGCTAAGTTTTCTCATCCTTACAATTAGGATCACTACTACATAACTGTAGTAAATCCGAGTGCTTAGTATAGTGATTTGCAAACAATAAGTGCTCAAATATATGAAGCAGAGAAAGTCATCTAAAGTGGTTATTATAAAACTTAACCAAGATATTTTTCTGAATCTAGAAAATTACCATCGAAATTAAATAGGGAAGTAGGAAGTTAAATTTAAAAAGTGTTTTAAGCTAGAGAAGATGACCCAGGTACCTGTATTAAAAGAAAGGCAAATTAGGCAAAAGATATAGACCCCAAATATCCTAAGTTTAATTGCTATTGATCTTGAGCACATTATACTAAGTGAAGTAAGTCAGAAAGAGAAAGACAAGTACTATTCCACTTATATGTGGAATCTAAAAAGCCAAACTTGTAAAAGCAGAGATTAAAACGGTCATTGCTGGAGGTCTGGGGGTCGGGGAGAAGATAGGACAGATGTTGTTTAAGCTTACAAATTTGCAACAAGTAGTATATAAGCCCTAGAGACCTAATGCACAATAGACTGAATAAAGACAATATGGTATTACAGTCATCAAACTTGCTAAGAGAGTAGAGCTTAATTATTCCAACCCCTAAAAAAAAAGAGAGAGAGAGCAGATGATAGTAGGAGAGGGTGATTAGAAGTTGAGGATTTGAAGCCCTGGCTGATGTAGCTCAGTGGATTGAGTGCAGGCCTGCAAATCAAAGGGTTGCCACTTGGATTCCCGGTCAGGGCACATGCCTGGGTTGCAGGCCAGTTCCCAGCAGGGGACATATGAGAGGCAACCATGCATTGATGTTTCTCTCCCTCTCTCCTTCCCTTCCTCTCTAAAAATAAATAAATAAATAAATTCTTAAAAAAAGAAGTTGAGGATTTGAGCAAAAAACCTTAAATTTATACCATGTTATATGTCAAATATATTTTAATAAGAAACAAACAAACAAAGTCTCCCAGACAAAATTGCTATGCTTCATTCATCTCCTCTCCCTTCCACATATCACACTGCCCTCTACAATTTTAAACTTTAACTTCTGCTGGCTGACCTGCACACCCATGACCAGCACCCTCTGAGAAAAAGCTGTGATGGGCAGACTGGTTTGAGCACTGAAAACTTTGGAATCCTCTGCCATTAATCACACCTTTTGCTCTACCCTATTGCCTCTGCCATTGTTTGTCCCTTGGACTGCCCAATAGTTTGGATACTCTGGTTTGGCCCTCCATTCTCTTTTTCCTAAAAGTGTTTTTTGTCCTTATTACCTGACCCCTCATTTCTAGCCACTCTAGGTGATCATGCTGCTTGTTCAAATACCCTGGCTCTTAAGTACTGAGGTTGATATTTCAAGAAAGAGAGAGATGTGGAGATTTGGGATCAGGCAATTATTCCATACAGTTGACCCTTGAACAATATGTGTTTGAAATGTGTGGGTTCACTTATAGTTGGATATTTAATATAAACACATACAATACTGTAAATGTACTTTACCTTTCTTGTAATTTTCTTAATAGCATTTTCTGTAGCTTATTCTATTGTAAGAATACTGTATATAATACATATAACATGCAAAATATATGTTAACCATTTGTGTTATAGGTAAGACTTCAGTCAACAGTAGGTTATTATTACAGCTACAGTTTTTTCAATCCTCATGCAAGGACATATTTATTGATTTGAGAGAGAGAGAGAGAAACATTGATGTCAGAGAGAAATAGCAATTGGTTGCCTCCTGACTGGGGACCAAACCCACAACATAGGTATGTGCCTTGACCGGGGATGGAACCCACAAATTTTTGGTGAACCAGACAATGCTCCAATTAACTGAACCACTCAGACAGAGCTATAGTTAAGTTTTTGGTGAGTCAAAAGTCACATGTGAATTTTTGACTGCATGGGGGGTAGTTAGTACCTGTACCCCCTGTATTGTTTAAGGATCAACTGTAAACTGAAAACTGTTCCAAACCTTGCCACACTTCTTAAAGCCCAACTTTCTCAATTTTAGTTTATTGTGTTTTTTTGTTAATAACATAAATGGACTCTTGTTTAAAATTGATATTATATATTGGAAATTCACTTGGTCTACATACCCATTTCTTCTCTAGTAGTTTCAGATATATTTTTCTGACAATCATAATTTTTTGGAAGTTGAAAGCAATATTCTGTTTTTTTTCCTCTAGAAAAATCTCTAGCCAAAGCAGCATAGCAGATTTTCAGAGAACTGATTGGGACTAGACATTAAAGATACATAGTCCTCATTTAGCTTTGAGTTTGAATTTTTTCAGTTATCTCTGGGGTTCAAGCTAACTTTGCTGATCTTGCTAGCTGAATGCACTTTCTCCTCCTTTGATCAACTGATGCCCAGATAAAAGGCTTTTATAATTAGTTCTATTATTGTCTTTTGTATTCTCATTAGTGTTGAAGTTTCCTTGAAACTTGAGCTATTGCCTTCAAAGGGGAAGATACAGGTGTTGGTCTTTTGTGAAATGAAAACCACGAGTCAATTTTTAGACATATTTTTATGTGCTCAATAGCCTTCACTGAATACTTTATACAGAGGAGGGATAATATGAGATATTAAAGGGAATATAGCACTTGAGATAAATATGTTTGTCAATTACTAGCCCTGTTAAGTGTACTTTTCTTCTCTAAAAGATGAGCATAAGAAATCCTTCAAAAAGTTGTGATATTCTCAAATGAAGAACAAGGTGAATGTTTTTAATCTATAAAGGCCACATGAACACATTATCATAAACGATTCTAAATAGTTTTTTTAGTTAAATCTACATTGATTACGTGTCCAGATAAATTGTTCAGGTCAAAATAATTAATCACTATTTATCATCAAGAATCGTATGTTCCAGACTCCACTTCCCACTAAACACGGGAGAAAAACCTAAATGATCTACAGAGGAACAGAGCAAACAGCCAACAGTATCCTAGCATATATGAAGATAGGAGACCAAAAATTGTAGGGGGCATTGAAAAATCAGATGGGTAGGTGGAAGCTGTGAATACCAGGATATTTGCTGAAAGAGGAAACCCACCAACAAAGAAACTACCAACACATAACAACAGAAGAAGGTGAATGAGGGAGTAGAAGCCACGTTGAACTCAATGCAGGACCTAGCTGGAAATACAACTAAATAGTGGAGAAATTACCCAGTACAAACAACTGAACAAGAGCAAAAGAGAATCCTCAAAGCCTTGTACACACAGAAGTACCAGCTTCAACACAACCCGCCCTCACCAGCACAACAAATTACAAGGGGTGGTGGACAGAGTTACCCTCAGTTAACCAGCTGGTGAAAAGGACCTACCAAAGAAAAAACCAACACAAATCAAAGCCCAAAGATAAACACAGAGGCAACATAAATGACAGCCCAAAATCAGTGAGCTTGGGAGATCAAGGAGACAGGACCACTGAATCTCACTGGTAGCCTACCACATAAAATCACCCCATGAATCCAGGGAGCCAGAAGAGATCAATTTAAGAATCTGAGGCTGACAAGAAAAGTCTCACAAACAACGAGATGAAATAGGAACAATCCCCAAATGAAAGGAGCTGAGGATGCCTCAGAAAGAATGCTAAATGAAATAGAGGCGACTCAACTATCAGATATTGAGTTCAAAGCAATGATTATTAGGAAGCTCAATAAGCCCACAGTGAATTACCAGACACTACAGTGAAACTAACATGAAAAAGGAAATAGAAACTATCAATAAGGGCCAAGAGGAAATGAAGATTACAATATATGAAATGAAGAACACAGGAGAAAAAAATCAAAAGCAGAATTGATGAAGCAGGATATCAGATCAGTGAGCTGTAGGACAAGATAGAAAAAAAAACAGAAAGAGAAAGAAGAGGAAAGAATGAAGAGGAATTGAGGGAAATGCAGGAAATATGAAATGTAATTATAGGGATACCAGAAGGAAAAGAAGAAGAGCATGGGACAGGAAACCTGTTTGAAAAAGTAATGATGGAAAACTTTCCTATTAGTTGAGAGAAAAAGTCACACAAGTCCAGGAAATGGAGAGAGTCCAAATCAAGAGGAATCCAAAGAGGGCCACTTCAAGACACATCATCATTAAAGTGGCAAAATTCCAAGACAAAGAGAGAATATTAAAGGCAGTAAGGGAGAAACAGAAAGTAACATACAAGGGAACCCCGATAAAGCTAGAAGCTGACTTCTCAATGGAAACAC